GGGGGGGCTACAACTGTTTTTCTACAAAAATGTTTATAAAATTTGAACATTAATTTAAAATTTTGAATAATTGTTAATTTCATTACCTATGGGCTCAATATATAAACATTAATTAGTTTTAGTTTGTGTTAAATCAATTTACAAAATGTAAGATACTTGAAATATTTTCCCCCTCAAAAGTACTAAACACTGTACTGTACACTGAACAAACGTTTGTACTACAAAAAGTTTGTGCAACTTAAAACTATCAGTCGTCTCCTCGTTATGTATTTACTTTGATGGTGACACATTTCGCAGTAATTTAAAACTTCTAATTTATTTACATTCAGAGGCTTGGCATCAATAATATGACAGACAACAGACGTTTAAAATGTTATTCTATTACAAAATTCTAGCAAACATTTCCCTGTTTCCTCTAAAAAAGGTTTTATCGCCTTCAGAGGTGAATTTGGTGGGGGATTTTTGTTTTTTGAGAATTTTGTTAGAGATTTTGATTTTATTAAACCTTGTTAAGAGCCCTCGGTAGGTGAAGGGTTAGCTTACTGACCTCTGACCCCCAGGTACGATTCCGGCCGAAGTGCACGGATTTTCGAAGGGCGGAATATCCACAGTAGCCTTGTCTCGCTTGTGGCATGTAAAAGAACCTTGGCGGTGTGCCTGGAAAAATTAAATCCTTCCGACAACATTCGCCCTAACGAGATCTAACTTTCCCCACGCCAGTTCGGATATAGTTTCTGAGTTCGACATCAGGCGAAGTGAGAGTCAAATTCCAGACGCATTAGGGGACTGCCCGTTAGGCGCGCCTCGATACAGTCCCCAGACCCGTGTCGGAGGAAGGCTTCTAAGGAAGCCTGGGTCGAAAACTCAAGGAAGGGAACGGGAAACCAACTGTGTAATGCATCCCAAGAAAACCTAGCTTCCGAACATGGAAGATAGGACCAAAGAAAGCACTTCGTAAAAATAAGCCGACTGTAAAAACGATTGATTATAACTGCGAATATTTTATGGATATTTTATGGATTTTATGGATTCTCTTAATTGACAAGCGTGTCCATCAACTACTTTAAACTTGTTCAAGTAATTATTTCTTGATTTACGCAAAACTGCTTTAAACACGGCGCTTCCGAAACACCAATAGTGTGAACGGTCGAACATAATTACCTAAAATGTGACAAATATGTAAGTCTAGAAAGGAGACCTTACCTTTACCACCCGTGCTATGGGGAGAAGTTAATTTGAAGTTACATTTAGTAGGCGACATTTGTGTAAAAGCAACTCCCGTCCCATTGTTCGCAAATTGATATAACATCGCGTAATATGCACTGAACTAATTTCAACCTCAGCCTGTACAACACATATTGTTCAAATAAAAATATAAATACCTAACAATTATAGAAAAATACGAAGGTAAGACAATAAGTGTGTGTCCTTTCTATCTAATCGTCTGTAGGTGCACTGTGCGACTTTGTAGCTAGCCAGTCTGAAGATAACATTCGTTCGTTTTGCTCGTGCAAGTTTCAGCGTTATCACTCAAGTTCGCTTTCCGCTGTCGTCACATTAACAAGGCTGCACCCCTCTTTGTTTGCGCCCAAGATCAACAGGCTTTTTTCCAACATACAAATTTATTTAGGAAAAAAAAAAAAAAAACTATGTGACGTATGGGGAAGAACATCATCTCCGCACGTTTACTCGAGTTCCAGAATCCCTTCCCGGCTTTCCGTAATTCTTTTGAGGTCTGAATGTGTAATAGAAGCTCAAAGGCAAACAAGGTTTCAGCACCAAGCGGGGACAATATTTTACTACCGCGACGTGTTTACAAGAGGACTGACCAGTTCAAAAGCGATCAAAGAAGCGCGAAGGAAGAAGCAAGAGCACCACATGCAGTCACATCCACTACTGATGCCATTATTGTGCAAATATGTGCCCCGACTATGAATACAGACACCTGACTATTGATGAAATTGCAAACTATATGCACATTCGTCATGGTGTTGCAATTCAGAACTCGTAAGTGGATTGTCAAAAGACGTTCTTTTGTTGGATGAAAACGCGCGGCGTTCAAGCTCTTCAAAGCCTGCATTTCGAGGCGTTAGAGCGTCCTGAATACTGTCAAGACCGTATGTTTGTCTCGCTTAGAGATACTTCGAGATGTAGATTCGCCTCCAAATTTTAGGTGAATGAAATGCTGTATACGTGTCTTACTGCTCAAACAAAAATCCTTTTCAGAGGGCTTGGAAAACGTGCTAAAATAGACTAAGCACACGTTGAAAATGACTTCTTGGCTGTCAGGGTGACACCGCGTCGTTGGCTGTCTGGGTCACGCCGCGTCATCCAGACAGCCAAGAAGTCATGAACTCGAGCTGCGGAAACTTACATGTAAGTTGGAAATGGTTTCATAATTAATTTTGTACTGCTGTTGTAAAACATTATAAAAAATGAATCCAGATAGTATTGACTTACCCTCGCAACCACAATGCAATAGATGAAATTTGAGTAGCACCTGCTCCCACACGGAACATATACTGCGAGAACCTCTGGAATTCACAGGGAACTAAGACTGCGAGTACCGAAATTAAGAAATGCAGTTGTTTCACGTTAAATACACGAAAGGATCGTTTTAGAAAATTTCCCCAAACGATGTATGTATAGGATAGGGAAGACCTGATGTAATTTCCGGACCAAAATAAAATATCATTGCTTCTATTGGTTTCAGTATTAATATAAATAAAATCTCATCGATGTAGCATTATTCATGGATGACCTCTAATAAAACGAAGTCCTAAAACTTGAGACAAAAAATATAGAAGTCACAACAAACCCGCGCAGTTTCTTGTACTTACCTTGCTCCACATCTGCAACTATTTAAAATATGAAAATATAAATAATAACGCAATATGTGCAATGAAAAGAGTGTGCAAAAGTACATTCATGAAAATGAAACACCATGAAATCACCTTTTGGGACACTTCAACTGAGATAATTTTCAAAACTTGAATGGATTTCGTAGATCAATGAGGCTCATTTTGTGCACAAGAGCCATGTACATGATTCAATATGGGCAAAGGGCTGACTCTCTTTACAAAAATGCAATGAATGGAAAACAACATTACACTCCAGTAATCAGATTTTTCAATACAATACATAGAAATTATTACATATATTGTATCTCTAAATTAACAATTCAGAACATCAGGCATAATCACACACTTCTACAGCAATGAGTATATACAACTAAAAGCAGCCCAAATAAATATGTAACAAGTACTTTATTCAGCACTGGGTAGTTACATAGTTCTTAACGTACGGGGCCACTGTGTTGCACGAGTACGCAGGGATCTGCCAATAAACGATCCCAACCTCCAAATAAAAACACAAGGGGAAGCAGAGTACCGTGAGAGTCACGAGCGGGTTCATCGACTTATTTTCTTAAACAACACGATCAACCGTTTTGAAGAAAACCATTCATCAATTTGCCGGCGATTGCACTTTTAAAAAACGCATTTCCTTCATGAATTCATGGTACTCCACCTCAAAAACAACTCACTCCCAATCACTCAAAAAGTCTCTCTGCACCAACGAACCTCTTATCAGCCTTCATGGCAACAATTTCTGACGTTTGAAATTCAATAAATTTGCAAAACTGCAATTCGTCGATCACTTGTGTCGATCCCTTGAACTTCATGTTTAATCAATGAAAAAGAATCCGGGATAATTCGAAGTTTACATTCCTTAATAAGACGTTCATTGTACATAGACAAGTAGCCTACAGACACTTCGCCTACATATACGCATATGCAAGTAATGTAGTTTCGTACACAATCTGATTTTCTCATTTCTTTGTAAAACTTTAATTTTACATAATGAACATTGGTATGTGCACTTCACAGTACTGTAAGCGCTATCTGATTTGTCGGATATATGATTGAATTTTGTTTGAAAATGTATGTATAGTGTATAGGACTCTTCTACTCAAAGCATTATTTACTTTTTGAAAGAGTGAACAATTCAAGTATTTATTGGACCTAACACCAAACCAAAAATATATAACTTCTCTAATTAGAATGTTTGGATAATTCCAATTTTTGTTGGCGTATTGAACTGCGAAGTCTAAGTCCCACCGAATCTATCATTAAACATTAAGTGAAAAGCAATAAAGAGAATGATCTCACCAACACGGAAAGTTGTTAAGTACAGAGACACTTTTTCCAATCTCACTCCAAGGAAGGTAAATAGGCACTTATATCCAGAAAGAGAATTTCTCTACTTCAAATTTCAACTGCAGAACTCTGCTTCGTTCAGACTAAAGTTTGTTGAAATGCATTATTTTAAAATCAACTTGGAAAAAATCCTTGATTTTAACATATCTTATTCCAAAATTACCTTAAAAATGTACCTTCTGAAGTAGAGAAAAATTCCTCCCAGATTTTTAACACCCAGTCAATAATGAAAATTTCATTTTCAGAACGAGTTATTTTATTCACTATTGTGGTATAAAAATATAAAAACATAGTATCACATACCTTTTCAACCTTTTCAAAATTTCTGGCTTTCATCTGTAAACAGAGAAAAGTTTTAATGTACAAAAGTTGAGACGAAATGTACACAAATTACTATACCTATATTCAGGAAATAGTGAAAATACTTGTTCTCAAAGCATCCCAAAATGAACGGATCTGGAAAAAAATCCATACAAATAAGATGACGTTATCAAGGTTTGAAAGCATAGGATTAACCATAGCATTGAAAGGAAAAAAAATGTGGTTAGATACTAAACAAAAGATAAAATTCTCAACACGTGTACAATTTCACTGTCAATTCAATTTATACGAGCAGGAATGTTTGCAAAGTACTTTATAATGGTTATTGATATTTCAATAATCTAACAGTAGAAGTAACAGTTATATCTTATAATATAATAAAAATTAATGAATGTCTATATGACCTTCAAAAACGTTTTAACAGACAATCCGATTTTTATGAAATTTTCTGTGATAATATTATTTAGGAATGGTTAGATATGACACTTTCATCTCGAAATTCGATCAAACATTTTTACTTTCTCTCTACGGAGTAGAGAGAGAGAGAGAAGGAGAAAGAGAGAGAGAGAGAAGGAGAAGGAGAAAGAGAGAGAGAGAAGGAGAAAGAGAGAAGGAGAAAGAGGAGAGAGAGAAGGAGAAAGAGGAGAGAGAGAAGGAGAAAGAGGAGAGAGAGAGGGGAAAGAGGAGAGAGAGGGGAAAGAGGAGAGAGAGGGGAAAGAGGAGAGAGAGAGGGGAAAGAGGAGAGAGAGAGGGGAAAGAGGAGAG